TTGTGTACGTTTTATTATAAAATATTTCAAGCATACGAAAATTTATAACAGTGTTTCTAATTCTAATTAATGGCAGAATGAAATGGTTGGGTGAAGCCTCCAGAGATTAACAATTATAAAATCTGGAAAACTATTTGAAGGCAATGGAAAGTGATCTGAAGCAGGTAGAAAGTAACATTTACCTTTAAAAGACCATACTACAATGAGTAAGAATTGCAAAGTTAGTGATGTTTTTGCCTGAGGGAATTCCCCTATCTTTGGATATCATATGGCAGAAAACTGATAGTCTTATTAGCTCAAAGCAGAGTTCAGAGCTGGCAGAGTGGCTGGGAATTAAGGGAGACAATTCTAGAATTGCAGAAAAGTGGACACCCAAAATCTGAGTATAAGATCTGATGAAATCTTTGGCCAAGTACTAAAGTGCGTATGCATAGGAATAACCTAAATGAGTCTGGTAACAACAACAACAACAACAATAAAGTAGGCAGAAATGTGAGATGAGCCTACACTTGAAAAACAAATGCACTGGTTAAGATTTCTGTGTTTGTTGACTGTCTTCTGTGACCTATGTATAGCTATAGTGGCAGAAAGTTGAAGTTTTAGTGGCTCGGATTATCAGACGACAGAGTTGGGAGCTAACAGAGCATATGGAAACTTATAAAGGAATCTCAGAAACAAGAGAATTACATAGAGAGTGAGCCCTGAAATCTGAGCATAAATTGTGCCCAAATCTTTGGTGGTGTAGTTTGCTTAAAGTGCACAGGTACAGAAGAGACTTTCAAAGGGCTCTACTAAAAGGCATTTGTTGGTAGCTGAAAGAACCAAGCAGAGAGATGAGCTGCTTCACTCTACGGGAGAGACAAAAGCCTGTAGTGTGAGTCTGGGCAAGTTCACTGCCTATTAGAATGAAAGCTCAATTATCATCACAAGAGCATAACAGTATCCAGAGTCACTACAACATATTATCTACATTGTCTGGTTTTTAACCCAAAATCACTAGATGTGGAAAGAAACCGAAAAGTGTGATTGATATTCAAGAAAAGTGTGATTAATATTCAATTAATGAAAAATGATTCCAATTGGGCCTAGATATTAGATTTAATAGTCTTTAAAGCCACTAGTATGAATATGTTCAAACTAAAGGAAAATATGTTCAAATAATAGACAAATATGTTTCGATGAGTGATCAGATAGGGAGCCTTAAAAGAGAACTAGTAACTAAAAAAAAGAATTAAATGGAAGGTCTGGAGTGAAGAGTGCCATTTTGCATTCCCACCATCAGGTCGACTAATCTAATATCAGTAGACCTAGCAAAGGCCTTTATGCCAGCAATGAATGAGAGTTCCTGTTACTGTACATCATCACCAGCATTTGGTATTGTCAGCATTCTGGCTTTTGGCTACTTTAATAGGTGTATAGTGCTATCTTGTCTTAATTTGCATTTCTCTGATGACATATGATATGGAGCATCTTTTCAAATGCTTATTTGCCATTTGTATATCTTCTTTGGTGAGGTGTCTGTTAACATCTTTGACCCATTTTTTAAACTGGATTGTTTATTGTTGAGTTTTAAGAGTTCTTTGTGTCATTTGGATAGCAGCCCTTTATTAGATATTTCTTTTGCAAATATCTGTTTTTAAATAAAATGATTATACTGGCACTGCATGTTCAGTGGTAAAAATTTGAAAAATTCACTAAAAGACAAAGTACAAAATAAAAATTATCCATACACTGAACCCTTGGAAGCAACAATGGTAACTTTCTGTTTTTTTAAAAAAAATCTATTTTTTTGCACATATAGTTAATACATATTTTTTAAGATAATACATCAATGGATACTTTCAGTACCTTTGTTTCAAGTATTTATTCATTAAACATATTTTTTCTAGTATTAATTGTAGTGGCTATATTTATAAATCTATAATTTCAAGGTCATCCAAGACCCCTTTTATATGTAGCTCCAATAAATCCTAAGTCTTGCTCATAACTAATATGTCTCAGTGTCAGATAAGTAACATCTGTTTATGCAGAAGAAGGATTTGGGAGTTATAAAAACTAGAGATGACAGATTCTACCTAAAGGCATTCAGATTCAAAAATTTTGAAACCACTGTGCTGGCCACACATAACACATCTTCAGGCTCTGGCCACCTCAGCTCTACTCTTTCCTAAAATATTAGTTGATGTCTCTGCAAAAATATTGGTCTATTTTTCTAATACTTTAAGATATACATAATTTAAATAAAACTGGGTTACACAGAAGTCTTCACTAGATCATGCCCTATTATATTTTATCACCATCTAAGCTCTTGGTTTGTCTAGCTGGGCACCATCAGGTCAGCTAATCTAAAAAAGTAGGTCTCGCAAAGGCCTTTACACAGAACACTCATACTTCTCCCTCTCCACTTTAGAAAAAACTTAGATGGCTTATACTAACACTAAACCACTGGACAGTAGGATGGGTCAGCACAACTGTTGGTGTAGTTTTTACAAGGTGGAGGCAACAAAATCAATTTTCTGTGTCCTGCCATACCTCTATCCACATGCCAATGCAAGCCTATACCATACATATTTTCCCTAAGAAGGTAAATTTGGGGCAACATTTCTCTTTAGTTTACTTTTTTAAAAAAAATCTTACTCTGGAAAATCTTTGCTTTATAAAAAAAGGTTATTATTTATAAATATATTCTACATTTTATTTTTTATTTTATGCCATACATTGTTTTAATTTGTTATTTATTGTTTTATCTTAGACTAAGAAGAGTAAAGATTCAGAGACTTCTAGATTAGGAAGGGACTCAGAGAGTGTGACCTTCATCATTTATAAAACAAATTAATTGATTAATGCCACCCTAGAGATCATGAAAAAAAGCAAACTGATTAATTGAAAAAGTGATGCTGGGTGTGGTGGCTCACTCCTGTAATCCCAGCACTTTGGGAGGCCAAGACAGGCAAATCACTTAAGGCCAGGATTTCAAGACCAGCCTGGCCAATGTGGTGAAACCCTGTCTCTACTAAAATACACAAATTAGCTGGGCATGGTGGTTGGCACCTGTAATCACAGCTACTTGGGATTCTGAGGCAGGAGTATCGCTTGAACCTGGGAAGTGGAGGTTGCAGTGAGCTGAGATCATGCCACTACATTCCAGCCTGGGTGACAGGGTAAGACTCTGTCTCAAAAAAAAAAAAAAAAAAAAAGAAAAGTGTCACTTTGGGTTTGGTCAGGAAAACAGAGCCATGGTATGTATTGAATCAATAGGGAATTTAATAGAGAAATTTGGGATTACATGATTGTAGGAGAAGTTGGAGAAATGAAGATCTGTGGTAGGAAGCTCAGAGAAACTGCCTGAAGCTCTGGAGCAGGAAAGAAAGCCACGCATGCATTACAGCAAGGAAGTCTGGACACCTGCATGTCTGATCACCTTCCAAAAATAATAACCTCTGCTTCACTGGTGACTTCCAAATCTTAGGCAAGTTCTTCTCACTGGCAGACTGTTACCTGAAGCTATAGGGGAGGGGATTTTGGGGAATGTAGTTACAAGCCTTAGAAGGGACTGGTGGTGATAGTGCCAAATTAATGTGGCACAGTTGCAAACCCAATTCATAGCACTCATTCATTCTGTAACTCCTATCTTTCTTGATCTTTTCCTAGACCTGAATATGTGTATGTCTCCATTGGTTATTAAGCAACCCTGGAGTCTTGATGTCTTATACTTTTTCATGGAATCATTTTAGATTGCTTCCTATAGATAAGAGTTATTATCTTGATGAGTTATTTAAAAATAAGACTAATTTCACTCATTCCTATTTCTTGAACTCTAAACCTGAGGTAGGTTCACTCTGTAAACATTGCTTGTACCTTATTACTCACTTGAGCAAAGCCCCAGGTTGTTAGAACTACAAACATGAATTTCACCAATGATTTAGATTCCCAGTCTTAGTAAAGAAATATGTAAATAAAGACTGCATTAATAATTATTCTGAAATACTGAGAAATCTCAATATTTGCATTTGCTGGATGCTTTGAGACTAAAGTCCACAGTGAGATTACAGAATAGAATCTGTTTTCCAGATTGATAGAGGAAATGTTTATATAACTCTTAACCTGCTTGTCTAAAGCCAGTGACCTAAACTGTAGTCTGTACCTGGTTAAAACTACCCAAGAATACAATCCTTACTTACTTTCCTCTTTATCCATTTATCTATAGATCATTTGAAAGTCTTTCATGACCAAGCACATCATGAGTAATTGAAATGCAACTCAGTGTAGTGTTTTTACTGAATAATTGTTCATTGCTTTCCAAACAACTACATTAGAAAAACTTGGCAGATTTGGAAATACACTTTTTGAATCCTAAGTGGTTGAGAAATATGAATTAGCTCACAGAGAAATTGAGTATGTAAATGATAATATTATTTTGGAGAGTGTTCTTCCATTTAGCAGAAAGATGTGTAAAATTTAATAGTTGAGGTACATGATCAAAATTTATTTGTAAACTGAATGAATTTTATTGCTAACAGTTTTAGTCATGACTCAAATATAAATTGTATACATGTGAATGATTTGTTTATATCTTGTTTTTTGGATCAATAATTCTTCAAGTTACATTAGTTTTATAATTTGGAATTAACTGCTAGTGGATCAAAATTATGTAATTATTTACAATGGACCTCAATACACAAAATTTGGCATACTAAGATGATACATGATGATGCTAGTTGTAAGTTAACATCGGTGAGTAAGTGGGTAATACTGACGGGTCCACTAGTTCTTGTAAGACAGGTAAGTAAAAAAAAAATTTTTTTCTCTAAACATGTTAGGCAAACCTAGCGTTAGCTGAAAGGCTGGTAGTAAATTCAGAATTAATTTCAAAGTACAATGTGAGCTCATTGGATTTACTGAATAATTATTTGGGGCTTTAAGATTTCATGTGCTGTTTGAACACAGCAGAGAGCATGTAGATTTTCTTCAGTGATACATGAAAATATCCATTTTAACAGGTAAATATTGGGAAGATGGATTCGCCCATTGAAAAGTGGAACCTAATAATTGGCAACCTGGCTTTAAAGCAGGTAAGTGGTATACATATTTGTTTACAGATCTTGGGTGTACAAATTTTGAGTGTTATTTATAAGATTGTTGTAAATTTTAGTACTGAGTCTACCCTTTGTTTTCAGAAACACCAAAACAATAATTTAGTACCTTGAAAAAGTGATGGAGTAAATGGATACCCATGACCTCTGAAAGCTATTCTTTGTTTAGAAACTAGTTTTTACAAATATGAAAAATATATACAAAATATGGAAAAAATATACAAAATATTGTCTATCATAAGTGTGTGATAGAGCCAGAATTTGCATTAATATATCTGTTTACTAAATATTTAACACTTCATTAAGTGTTTTTTTTTTTTACTTTGCTATTTAAAGATAAACTGAGTTCTTTTCTATGTATTATGGTCAGGTATTTGTTTGTTTTCCTTAATTTGTTAATGTTACTAGTATTAATATACACAATACAGTAGTTTACCAATTACATATACACTGAAATGTGAAGTGTAGATCGTATATAATCTACAGCTCTTTCTAATCTTAGGTGAATATCTCTTTTTCTTCTTCCTTCACCTTCTCCTACCCCTAAGACTGAAGACTGCGGCTACCCCTAGTAATTCTCTAGCTAGTGTGAGCTTAGGGAATGCACACTAATTTTGATACTAGCTCAGCTAGGACATAATGTTGTGAACCTGGTTGCACGAACAGAATTTCATGTAATTCAAGGACAAAGAAATAAAGCACACTTTTTGAATATGTGTATAAGTGCTTGTGAGATCACAGACGTGGAAATAGGAAAATCTGCGATCTGACCTCAGCTTTAACACGAAACAATTTATAACCTTTGTTAATCGATTTGACTTTTCCAGACTTCACTTTCCTCTTTTATTTTTTTTTCTTTGAAATAAATTTTTGTTTTATTTATTTATTTTTTTTGAGGCCGAGTCTTACTCTGTTGCCCACGCTGGAATGCAGTAGCGCAATCATGGCTCACTGCAGCCTTGACCTCCTGGGCTCAAGTGATTCTCCCACCTTAGCCCCCTGAGTAGCTGGGACTACAGGTACGCGCCACTATGCCTGGTTAGTTTTTGTACTTTTTGTAGAGACGGGGTTTCGCCATGTTGTCCAGACTGGTCTTTTCTTTCAATTTTTAATTTTTGTGGATACATAGTAGGTGTATATATTCATGGGGTACATGAGATGTTTTGATACAGGCTGCAATGCATAACAATCACATCATCTAAAATGGTATATCCGTCCCCCCAGCATTTATCCTTTGTGTTACAACAATCCAATTATACTCTTGTAGTTATATTTTAATGTAAAATCGAATTATTATTGACTGAAGTCACTTTGTTGTGCTATCAAATACTAGGTCTTATTCAATTTTTTTGTACTCGTTAACCATCCCTACCTCCCCCACACTCTCCTACTACCCTTCCCAGCCTCTAGCAACCATACTTCTACTCTCTAGCTCCATGAGTTCAATTGTTTTGATTTTTAGATCCCGCAAATAAGTGAGAACATCCAATGTTTGTTTTCCTGCTCAGCTTATTTCACTTAGCGTAATGTCCTCCAGTTCCATCTATGTTGTTGCAAATGACAAGATGTCATTCTTTTTTATGGCTGAATAGTGCTCCATTGTGTATAAGTACACATTTTATTTATGCATTCATCTGATGATGGACACTTAGGTTGCTTCCAAATCTTGGCCATTGTGAACAGTGCTGCAACAAACATGGAAGTGCAAGTATCTCTTCAACATACAGATTTCCTTTATTTGGGATTATATACTCAGCAGCAGGATTATTGGATCATATGGTAGCTGTATTTTTAGTTTTTTGAGGAACCTCCAAACTGTTCTCTATAGTGCTTGTGCTATTTACATTCCCACCAACAGTGTACGAGGTTCCCTTTTCTCTACATCCTCACCAGCATTTGTTATTGCCTGTTCTTTGGATAAAAGCCATTTCAACTGGGGTGAGGATGATATCTCTTTGTAGTTTTGATTTGCATTTCTCTGACCATCAGTGATGTTGACCTTTACATATACCTGTTTGCTATTTGTATGTGTTCTTTTGAGAAATATCTATTCAGATCTTTTGCCTGTTTTAAAATGAGATTATTAGATTTTTTTCCTATAAATTTGTTTAAACTCCTTATGTATTCTGGTTATGAATCGTTTGCCAGATGGGTAGTTTGCAAATATTTTCTCCCATTCTGTGGGTTGTCTCTTCACTTTGTTGATTGTTTCCTTTGCTGTGCAGAAGGTTTTAAGCTTGGTGTGGTCCCATTTGTCCATTTTTGCTTTGGTTGCCTGTGCTGGTGGGATATTACTCAATGTATTTTGCCCAGACCAATGTCCTAGAAAGTGCCCCTGATGTTTTCGTGTAGTAGTTTTATAGTTTGAGGTCTTAGATTCAAGTCTTTAATACATTTTGATTTGATTTTTGTAGATGGTGAAAGATAGGGGTCTCATTTCTTCTGCCAATTTTCTTAGCTCCACTTATTAAAAAGACTGCCTTTTCCTCAGTGTATGTTCTTGGCACTTTTGGCAAAATGAGTTCACTGTAGATATATGGATTTGTTTCTGGTTTCTCTATGCTCTTCCGTTGGTTTGTGTCTGTTTTTATGCCAGTGCTGTCTTTTGATTACTGTAGCTCTGTAGTATAATTTGAAGTCAGGTAATGTGATTCCTCCAGTTTTGTTCTTTTTAGTTAAGATAGTTTTGACTATTTCGGAGTCTTTTGTGATCCCACATAAATGTTAGGATTTTTTTTTTTTTTTTCTATATCTGTGAAGAATGTCTTTGGCATTTTGGTAGGGATTACATTGAATCTGTAGATTGCTTTGGGTAGTATGGACATTTTAACAATATTGGTTCTTCTAATCCATGAACATAGAATATCTTTACACTTTTTGGTGTCCTCTTCAATTTCTTGCATCAATATTTTATAGTTTTGTTTTTTTTTTTTCCGAGACGAGGTCTTGTTCTGTTGCCCAAGCTGCCAGGCTGGAATGCAGTGGCACAATCTCAGCTCACTGCAGCCTCTGCCTCCTGGGTTCCAGCAATTCTCCCACCTCAGCTGGGATTACTGGGCACGCCACCATGCCCAGCTAATTTTTGCATTTTTAGTAGAGACGGGGTTTCACCATGTTAGCCAGGCTGGTCTCGAACTCCTGACCTCATGTAATCCACCCGCCTCAGCCTCCCAACGTGCTGGGATTATAGGTATGAGCCACCATGCCCGGCCTGTTTTATAGTTTTTATTGTAGAGATCTTTTATGTCTTTGGTTATTTCTAGCTCTATCTTATTTTACTTTTAGCTGTTGTAAGTGGGATTACTTTCTTCATTTCTTTTTCAGATTATTCACTGTTGACGTGTAGAAATGCTACTGATTCTTGTGTGTTGATTTTGTATCCTACAATTTTACTGAATTTATCAGTTCTGATAGTTTTTTGGTGGAGTCTTTAGGTTTTTCCAAATATAAGATTATATCATCTGTAAATAAGGATAATTTGACTTATTTCTTTCCAATTTAGATGCCCTTTCTTTCTTTCTTTGCTTTAGGTAGGACTCATAGTAGTATGTTAAATAACAGTGGTGAAAGTCTCTTTCCTCTTCTAAATATCATCATTGTATTAGAGATGTCTAAGATCTTTTTCAGCTTGAAATTGTAGGAATCTATGCAGGGGTAATAATCAAAATATTTAACAACCAGTAGAGTACTGTAAATAATACATAAAATTTGAAAATATATTCCATTTATTTTTAAATACCCTAAACTCTTACAAAGTAATATGAGTTGTATAAATTGTCAAATTATTCTAATAATTTTCATCTCAGCTTTTCATTATTCCTCCTATTCTTAGTCTTCACTTTTCCTTTATCATCCTCTCTCCCTGCAACTGTCAGTCAAGATGGGAGTCAGACATGGCTAGGAATTCACTGATTCTAGTTGCCATAGCCCGAAGCCTGTGTCTTTATGTGCCTTACTCCGCCAAGGATGTATGAAGAACAGGGAACCCCAACCAGGCCCCTCAGGACACACCTGGTGCCAGCCAGTGAGGCAGCAATTGGTTGAAGTCTAGTCACAAGTAGACAAAAGCGAGAAGAAAAGAAAATGGAGCGGTGGGGGTAGTGGTTGGGAGAGAGAGTTTTTTCTTCCTGAGGCTTCTTTTGCTAACACTTGTGAAGGACTAAATGATGAGTGTGGGGAGGGGAGTAGGATGGGCTTGCACAAGTCTCCTCTGCCTGGATACTGGCCATGGAGGGTAGAAAGAGAGAAGGGTAGAAAGCACAGAAGAGGCCCACACTCCCACTTGCTCAGGGGTGTGCTCTTCTCACTATTAAATGGAGTCCCAGGCAGATCGCCTGTCACAGATTTCTTCACGATTGTACAGAATGGCCTCCTGGACCAAATACATATATAAGTAGCCAAATAAAGCAAAGTCTCCAGTCCCACATGAGGAACTATTGCCTCACCAGGAGGCACACGTCCTGTACCAACATCTCTTCAGGCGTATGGCCCCTACTAACCTTCCCATCTACTACTTGAACCCAGACTTTGCTTTCTCTTGGGTACAATTCGTCATTTTTCAGTTAGTCATTCTTTTGCAGGTTTCCAGAATAGGACTTCCTCATCTCAGTTGTGTGCTTTTATTTTCTCAGAAATTGATAGATTTATATATATACACACCGTGATGTCTGCAGTAGGCTCTCTAGCTCTGTGTTCCAATGTCAAGCCAGGCAGGACTTGGAATCATAGTGCTAGAATTTATATTATAAATTAATTATACTGCTTTAAAGTGTAATTACATTATTTACTAACCAGAATGAAAATACTGAAATATTTTAACTGCTACACTCATCATGGTGCTTATTAGTTTGAATCTCAGCTCTGAATCTGTGGGTGACATCCACAGGAGCTATAGTATTAATATAAGTTCATGGGACTGGAGTCCAGGATATCTGGTCTCTTTAGTCCTGGCTCTTCTGTTGATTTACTGTATGACTACTTTAGAAATTTTTTGCTTGGAGTCCTTAATTCCAGCACATGGATAGGCTTCAGAGAGTCCATGAACACCAAAAAATTCTACTCAAAATACTGAGTGCTTCTGTGTTTGCCTAGAGAAAGAGAACTCTATTCTATAGAGTTTTTACCAGATTGTCAAAGGAGTTCATGACACAAACTCATCAGTGCAATAGATGATTCCCTTAGGGTTTCTTTTAGTTCTGACATCTTATTAATCTGAAGCTGAGTTAGCGGTCAGTGTTGTTTCTTAGTCACAGGTTTTTTTAGTGTTGCTTTATGTCAGCACTGTGGAAAGCATTTTATATATTTATATAATTAATTTAAATCACAAAGTTTGAGGTAATCATTGTTGTCTTACTGTTTAGGAACTGAAATTTTCATAGCACTAATCACAGTTGTGCTTATTTGTGAGGTTATTTTCAAATGTTTGTCTCTCCCACTGACCAAGAGCTCTGTGAGGGCAGGGAATAATGAATGTTGACCACTACTGTAGCCCAACACAAAACATAGCACATTATGTGTAGTAGAATCTAAATAAATACTCATTGAATTAATGAATTTAAATATTTGCTACAAGATTAAGTGCTAGAACCAGGAGTGAAACTTCTATATTTCTATTATAAAATCCAATCTCTTGCCAACACTACCTCTAGAGTCAGACTTCAGATGTGTGGATTGGGTACTTCTCAATCTGAAGGTGGCATTTTCTTAGGTGATCTATTAATTATACTGTCAGCATCACTTGGGGTGCTTGTTAAAAACAGATTCCTGGACTCCATTCCATACCCGTTGTCACCAGATCAATCAGGGCAGTTTGAGAACCCACCATCTTAGGGAATATTAAAACCAAAATATAGTGACTACTCTAAAAGGTAATGTAGCTCAATTATTATATGCAATACTTTTTCTGACTTTTTGTAGTAATATTTACAAAATCAAAATTTTTAAATGTGTTTTTAAAGTGAATAATTCAGTTGGATTTATGAAAAAATTTTCAGGTTCAGGCAACAGTAGTTGGTTTTCTAGCAGCTGTGGCAGCAATTATATTGGGCTGGATTCCAGAAGGAAAATATTACCTTGATCATTCCATACTTTTGTGCTCCAGCAGTGTGGCAACTGCCTTCATTGCATCTCTTCTGCAGGGTAAGTGAATTTATAAATGTCTACTCTATAGCCTTTTACATTTAAATGGTTTATTTCTTAAGATGACTATTTTTATTTAAATGATACTTGTTGTGAAAGCAACAGAAAAAAATCTTATCTACAAACTTAAAAAAGTCTTAATTATTCCAGATATATTTACATTTCATTATTTATAAACCTTAGTGTACAACAGGGTTTTCTGAGGTTGTCTCCTGGCCTTAGATACTCTGTTATAGTTCCCCAAAAACATCAGGAGAATTGTCTAAACATTGATTTGTTTCTGTAAGTTAAATGAATTGGGAAACTCTTTCTGGACATCATGCAGGGGATTTACTGGCTTGTCACTTGAGTAACAAGTGTTCCAGGAATTCTGGGTTTCAAAAGCCATCCTCTGTTGACATTTTTTTGTCAGATTTCAAGAAAAACTTCTTCCGTTTCTGTGGCAATATGAATATAACCTTATACTTAAGACAGTATATTGTTGGCTATAGAATTTTCAAGAGCCAGAAGGTTTTAAAAATTAATTACTTTAGAACTTCTATTTTGGTTATTTTTCTTTATATTTATTAGTATGAACTTTTCACTAGAGAATTAGCTTATTGTGGAACCAAAATCATAAAGAATTTGTTCTTTTTGTTTTATAATTGCCATTTTCTTGCCCTTATATCACCAGCAAAGTTTAAAATGGATTATTGTCACGTTAGGTGATCATACAATGCAGCTAACTTTTTTGGCTAGGTTCTTTGAATTTAGGGAATCTTATTAAAATTATGACTTGACTTCCAAAATATTTTCAAGCATTTTGTTTTAGTACTTTAATTGTACCAGGGGTAGTTTCTTGTCTTTATAAAGAATTACTACAATTGAATGGAGTTAACATTGACCAAAGCAGAGTAAAGTGAAGCTGTCAGAAAATTAAATTTTTGGTACAAAAAAAAATATTATACCATCAGCATGCTATTTTTTTAGGCTCATTTGCTTCTTTTTTCTTTCTGATTTTATTTCATTTAGAAAGTGTCATTTAGAATTGTTCAGTCTAACAAGTATTTGAAAGCTTTTCAAAACTACCCAAAATTCAGAATTTTAAAATGTATTTGTTTAAAGCTTCTTACTTTGAATAATGTGTGTTCTAATTTTATGATAACTTGCCCTTTATAAGCACTTTAGTATATGTAAAGTAGAAACTCTTAGCCATATTTGTAGGTGAGAAAACTTAGCTAAGGTGACTTGTCCAGTCTGATCAACTTGTTACCAGTCGAATCAGAACTAAAACACCAGTCTCCTGACTCTTAGCTCTTTCCACTGGACTATGATACACACAAAATGTTTGTTTACAGCTGAAAAGATATAGATGATACTATATATAGGAGAGCTTCCCATATACATCTTCAAATGTGCTTTTTGGAAAAAAATTCTAAGCAATTACATCTTGCTTGATTATTGCATAATGCATTTTTTAAAAAGTTTTCTGCTATAGCTTTTTTTTTTTTCAATGATATTATGGGAAAGGTAAGTCTCTAGTAATTTAAAAAGCCTCCAGAATACTAAAATGTAAGGCACTGTTTGATGCAAGACAAAAATTCTGCTTATTAAAATTTTGGCTTTTATAGGTAGAGTGAAAAACACTGGGCTACAGTCATAAGCTATGTGACTTTAGGCAAGAATTTAAGCCCTACTCTGTAGGACCTCAGTTTTATTATCTATAAAGTGAGTATGCTGGAACAAAAACATTTAGAGTCATTTTAACTCTAAAAGTGCAGTGAGATTTTGTTATTTTTTTCTCCATAGCCATATTTAGGCTTTCATATTGATTTGTGCTTAGCACATTTAAAGTTTTCTCTTTACTACATCCTCTTAATGAGTCTCTTGGTGTGACAAAATCTACACAATTTAGTGTGAATAAAAGTGTTAATAGTTTTATCCCGTTTGTATGATTTAAGAAAATTAGGATGTAAAAGTACAAGTACACAGTTAAATTTTCATCTTTTATTCTCTCGTAGGTTTATAGACGGAAACTTCAGGTTTAAAGAATATCTTTTACAAAGACTGTTTCTTGTGTTCTGGCCTTCAATGTTTTAAATTTTAATTATGTGCTGCTGCTTAATACTTCAACGTCTTTTTTTTTTTTTTTTTTTTTTTTTGAGACGGAGTCTTGCTCTGTCGCCCAGGCTGGAGTGCAGTGGCCGGATCTCAGCTCACTGCAAGCTCCGCCTCCCGGGTTTACGCCATTCTCCTGCCTCAGCCTCCCGAGTAGCTGGGACTACAGGCGCCCGCCATCTCACCCGGCTAGTTTTTTTTTTTTGTATTTTTTAGTAGAGACGGGGTTTCACCGTGTTAGCCAGGATGGTCTCGATCTCCTGACCTCGTGATCTGCCCGTCTCGGCCTCCCAAAGTGCTGGGATTACAGGCTTGAGCCACCGCGCCCGGCCACTTCAACGTCTTTAAATAATAAAATGAAACAAGCATTTCTAGCTGCCATATGTGAACAAATCTAGTTTTGTTGGTTTTCTTCCCAGTTGTTGTACATATACATATGACTCACCTTTTTTTTAAATGTTTTCATACTTTACTTGAGGGTTAAAATTAAAACCTTTGGATTCATTACACACAAATACATTATCTCTGAGATATACATGTCACTAAATTTGAAATTTTAGCTTTAACATAATTTTAGTAGCTTTCAGGCCTCTAAATGCAACACTGAATTTCTTAAATTTTCTAAGATCCCCACTTGGAGTTTGTTGAAAGGCATTTTGCCAAAGCATTAGAGTAAATGTTCTGTTTGCTTTAGTCAGCTTATCTAAGCAGTCTAACTGGAACTGATAGGCTGTTTGTCTATCCTACACATATTGGTATTTGGGAGATTGATTTTCTTTAAATCATAGCTAAAAACTAATGAACATTCTTTCTTCTAGGAATAATAATGGTTGGGGTTATCGTTGGTTCAAAGAAGACTGGTATAAATCCTGATAATGTTGCTACACCCATTGCTGCTAGTTTTGGCGACCTTATAACTCTTGCCATATTGGCTTGGATAAGTCAGGGCTTATACTCCTGTCTTGGTAAGTTGATTTAAAACTAAATATTGTGTGTTGTCTCAAGTCTCTTTAAATAAATATCGTTGCAGCAATGCCATGAATCCATGGTAGCCTTCATTTGCATTAGAACTGTTGTTGAGACTGATTAGGATAACTATCATTTGTTTTATACCTGCTATGTGTTATGGTTCCCACTTTTTTTTTTCTCATAGAGTTTAAAACTCTGTAAAATAAGGATTATCATCTCTAATTTTAGATGAGAAAACCAAGGATCACAGAAGTTATGTGTATTACCCAAGTTTATACAACTGCTAGTAAAAAAGCTGAACACAGGCTTATCATACTTTGTGATTTCTGTCCTTTCCTCTAAATGTACAGCAGCTAGGAGTCAACTTTCAGTGTTCTTTGCCTAGAATCATCTCAGAATATAAGCTTATAAGTGGTACTTAAAATTTACCAATGGAATGTTTTTTCCCCATTAGAAACCCACACCAATAAGTAGCTTCATGGCTACTAACAAAAAGGAAAAAAAAATCGCCACGAAAATTAGACTGAATGCTGTATAAAGTTGGAGCCATATATGTAATTCCTGATAAATAGTGATAGAGTATGGAATTTAATGAGTTGTTTTAATGCAAAGTTGTGTTCTGGGTCAATGGTAAATGAATATGATCTGTGAGCGTTGATTAAATGCTAAAAGTTCATTGTGGTTTTATTATTTTTAGATGCCAAATTAAAGAAAACAGAAACTTACAGTAATACAAGAAAAAAACATGAGTATATATGCCAAGCCAGAGGCTAACATTTATTCACATATCCTGACATATGTTCATGGGTTCTATACAGATTTATAGTATACCTTAAAATAAATCTAAAGCATATTTCATTTGAAGAAGTAAGAGTCTCAGATACATGTTCTAGAAATAAAGGGCTTTAATCAACCAAAGGCAATAGTTTTCTGTGACCTTTGGAGATACCAAGGAAGCTTCATTTAGTATATAAAATTGCCTTAAGTTATTTAGTGGGTGGCATAAAAACAATATTTAATAAGACTTGGTGTATATGTTCAAGGAATATTTCTCTCATTTAGAAGATAAAGTTGCATCTACTTTAAGTGAGGTGTAAGACAAGAAATGATCAATGGCCTAAATGTAAGCTCTTACTCCCAAAGGTCTTGGCTTTTTTATGTTGTTGTGCAATTTGCAAAGAATGATATATGTTCAAGTATATTAAAGACAACACTTCATTCCCTTCCCTCACACTCAAAAAAAAAAAAAAAAAGCACAGAAAGTGGGTTATGTTATTAAAGGGATAATCTTAAATCTGCTGTAATTTATATTGTTTGGATGATAAATTGATAATACTTTTTCCTTCTCTAAATTATTATAAAATTTAGAAATAGATGCTGAAGTAAGGGATTGAAATATTAGCTTATGGCTAGTAATAGAAACTATGGCTTAATGTTCTTCTCCTACTCTATTATAAAACTCACCCACACACTCTCAGCCAGACAGCTGGACAACTTGTAGTCCTCACCCCATAGAGTAAGCTGTTAACTGTATTGGGGAAGAGAGACTGTCACTAATAGGCTGTATCTCAAAAGAGAAAGCCAGTAACAGCATGAGTTAGGCATGAGTTAGTGCCCCTTTCCCTAGTATTACTAATTAGATAAGTCTCTCCCAATTTGAGGAGGAGGAAAGAGAGAGGAAAAGAGGAGTAGAAGAGGATAAAGCGTTCTGTGTCAATATCATTAAAAGGACAGAAATTCTATGGGTTTGCCCAGGAACATAGAGGGTAGGGGTAGGGATGGAGGGCTGGTAGTGGTTCTGGGACAGGTTACCCTATATACATAAAAAATACAGGTATATTATTTGCAGATTTGGATATTTAAATTACCATTAAGTCATTTATAACACATTTTTCAGCTGCTTGCAAATACCAGATATCTCCTCAGTTAAAGACAGTGGTAAGAAAGTAAGAAAGAGAACGCCACTGAAGAATGTTATCATGATAAACATGACAATTGTTATAATGTTACAGACTTAAGTACTATGAGATTCCAGAAGATAAACAACTATTGAGGAAAATAATGCACCTGACCTTTACAATTTAATTTAATTAAGTAATTAATTTTTGAGACAGAGTCTTGCTCTGTCACCCAGGCTGGAGTGCAGTGGTGCGACGTGACCTCTGCCTCCAGGATTCAAGTGACAGTTATGCCTCAGCCTCCCAAGTAACTGGGACTACAGGCACACGCCACCATGCCCGGCTGATTTTTTTCATATTTTTAGTAGAAATGGGGTTTCACAGCGTTGCCCAAACTGGTCTCAAACTCCTGAGCTCAGGCAATCTGCCCACCTCGGCCTCCCAAAGTGCCACGATTACAGGCGTGAACTACCCTGCCCCACCTAAAATTTTATTTTTTTAAATTATACAAGGGATAAACTCTCCTTTTAAAAGACTTAATCATAATGTGTTGCCATCTAAAGCTTTCAATATTTTGAATGTCATATAGTGGTGCATTAATAATTTAACTGGATCAAGAAATGTAAAATGGAATGTTACTATCACAGATCATGATTTTGAAAAATAATGTTATTAAATATTGCTTAGGATTTTCTAATCCTTGTCTTCTGAAAGTTGGCTCAAAGTAATTCAAGATAAATGAACTAAAACAGTCTTTTACATTTTTTCTGTATCATTGATTCCCCTAAAGAGATATTTTTTAATATGTTACAGATCAATCCCATAGTTAATTTAAGAGTTAAAGATATTTCTAAAGTATCTGTGTTCACATTGTTAAAGTGTCTGCTCTGTGAGCACTAGGGGGCCTCATAAGAACAGCAGTTGGATGCCTTGTATTTGTATTCTGAATACTAAGATTGGAACAGACACATTGAAATTCCAAGACCCCATTCATCCTGCTGAGAAGCTTCACTTTTGGAAACCAAGTTTATTTCCTGAACTATATTGAAAACACTTAGCAGTTTTTAGAGATAAAAAGAGGATTTTATGATAGCAGTAGGCTTTAGTTATAGAGGCCATGTATTATATAGTGCTCAAAGATCTGGGCATTAAGAAAAGTCTTATGGGCTCAATTCATCAAGAAGATATAACAAATTGTTAATATATATGCACATAATATCAGAGCACCAAAATATATATATGATCAATTGTTAACAGATATGAAGGGGGAAATCGTAAGACAATAGTAGTAGGGGACTTCAGTACCCCACTGTCAACACTGGAGAGATCATCCAGACAGAAAATCAATTAGGAAACATTGGACTTGAACTATGCTTTAGACCAAATGGACCTAGCAGATATATACGAAACATTCCATCCAACAGCAGCAGAATACACATTCTTTTCAAGTGCACGTGGAACATTATCCAGGATAGATCATATGTTAGGCCACAAAGCAAGTCTTAACAAAGAAGACTTTAAGAAGATTGAAATTTAAGAAGACTGAAATCATATCAAGTATCTTTTGTGATCACAGTTGTATGAAACTAGGAATCAGTAATAGGAAAAAAATCTGGAAAATTCAAAAACATGTGGAAATTAAACATCATGCTCCTGAACAACCAAGAAGTCAAAGAAGAAATCCAAAGGGAAATTAAAAAAATATATCGAGACAAATGAAAATGGAAACACAACATACCAAAACCTAAGGGACACAGCAAAAGCAGTTCTAAGAGGGAAGTTTATAGCGATAAACACCTGCATTTAGAAAGAAGAAAGATCTCCAATAAACAACCTAATGTTACACCTCAAGGAACTAGAAAAAAAAGAATAAAGGAAACCCAAAGTTAGCAGAAGGAAGGAGATAATGAAGACCAGAGCAGAAATAAACCAAATAGAGAATAGAAAAACTAAAGAATACATTAACAAAACTTAGTTGGCTTTTCTAACAAATAAGAGTGACAAAGCCTTAGCTAGACTAAGAAAAAAAAAGGAGACTGAAATTTAAAAATCAGAAATAAAAGTGGAGACCTCATAAATAAAAAATCACTAGAGACAATTATGAACAATTTTAAGCCAACAAATTAAATAACCTAGAGGAAATGGATAAATTCTTAGAAACATATACTTGCCAAAATTGAATGATGAAGAAATAGAAAGCCTGAACAGACCAACAACAAATAGTTATTAAAGTAGTAACTAAAAGCATCCCAACAAAGAAAAGCCCAGGACCAGATGGCTTCATGGCTGAATTCTACCAAGCATTCAAATAATTAGTACCAATCCTTATCTTCCAAAAACATAGAACTAGAGGAAATACTTCCAAACTCATTTATTTTTCTTTTTACTTTTATTTTCAGAGATGGGGGTCTTGTTCTTTTACCCAGGCTGGAGTACAGTGGCATTATAGCTCCCTGCAGCCTTGAACTCCTGGGCTCAAGTAGTCTTCCCACCTCAGCCTCCCAAGTATCAGGAACTACAAGTGCATACAACCATGCCTAGCTAATTTTTAAATATTTTCTTGGAGACAGGGTCTCACCATGTTGTCTAGTATGGTCTCAAACTCATGGCCTCAAACAGTCCTTCTGCCTCAGCCTCCTGAGTTACTGAGATTACAGGTGTGAGCCACTGCACCCAGCCCAGACCCATTTTATAAGGTCAGCATCACCTGATACCAACTTTCCAGACAAAGACACCACAAGAAAACAAAACTAGTGAGGTGTGGTGGCACATACCAGTAGTTCCAGCTACTCTGGAGGCTGAGATGGGAGGATCACTTGAGCCTGGGAGTTGGAGTCCTGCCTTGGCAACATAGTGAGACCCCCATCTCTAAAACAGAAAGACAAAAACAGCCTAAACAACAACAAAAGAAATGAAAACTGTAAGCCAATATTTCTGATGAACACAGCTTCAAAAATCTTCAATAAAATATTAGCAAACTGAATTCAACAATACATAAAGAATATTATACATCATGACCAAGTGGAATTCATCCCTGGGATGCAAGTATGGTTTCACATACAGCACACTGTGTAAAATAAAATATCTAGAAATAAATT